ATTTCACTGAAAAAAAAATCTGAATTGCACAAAATGGCATTGCGCACACTCTTGACTTTATTGCTAAAAGTCCTAGCTAGTAACCTTTATTGCCTTACCAAAATGTCACCAAACAACCTGTTACCATATTCCAAAGATTAGCCCTTTATCGCCTTATTAAAATGTCAAACTACCTGTTACCATATTCCAAAGATTAGCCGCCAAAATAACATGACAAAGAATTGCACAAACATGGCATTGCATACTTCCTTGACTTTATACATGTACACATTTACCTATTTTCACTTTGAAAAACATCAGAGAATTGCACAAACTAGGCAGTGTGCACCTCCTTGACTTTGTCCATGTATACATCAAACTATATTCGGTACTTTTCTGTTTCACCGGCGCAAATCTCATCAAGCAGATTTTATTGGCGAAACATACAGTATACACATAAAAAATATTAAAAAATGTTAGTTCTAAGAATTTTTTATTTTGAAGGCATAAACATTTTAATATCACTTAAAACTTTATAAAAAGCCGATAAATAAAGACAATAAATTTGTAAAAAGACATTAATTTAAGAATTTACTATGCTTTCATGGTTCAAAATCCTAATTCGCCGGTTTATATCACGTGACCCCAAGCTATCTCATCTCACGTAAACTACTCTACAAAAATCTAATGCTCTCAGTAATTATCTACATTAATTTCAAGTTAAATCTTAATTTGGAACACAAGTTTAAATGCAAGAAATATTTCAATTCGTACGAATAGCTTACTTAGAAATTATGTAAAACTGCAGTGCTTTACTTCGCTAATGTATCCTTATTAGAATTGATGAATTTAACCCTTGACTTTACCTTTTCTATATTTTCGGCTTCGGGTAAGAGCTGTGATTGCATCCTAATTGACTTAACTACTGAAAATGGCCTTAGACATAAAACTGAACTATCTGATAAAAATTCTATGTAATTATATGCCAGTATTGAAAAAACCAATCAATCTGATAAGAAAAAGCTGCGACTTGTTTTGAAAATGAGGCGTAAAAGTCCCATCGGATATTCGTTCCGCCAGGGTGATCTACATATGGTAACTGTAGTTTGGCGCATTTGAGCGTAAGGTTATACCTGGGACTTGTAATAAGTAGCGTCCATCCGATACCATTATTTGTGTGGGGGAATGGAGATGTGGATTTAATGATAATACGTTCTTTAATCGGAAAAAGGGGAAATTGGACAAAGTATCTGTGGATGTATATTATTTTGTATTAAGCTTCATTGTGTGTTGTGTGAAGTAGGGTTGAATAATTTTGGGCTTATATGGCGCTGTCTAAGTGAATTGTAGATGTGATAAAGATAATTTTTTTTTTATTAATTCTATCAAAATTCGGAAAAAAAATCGTTCAGTACTTTTATTGAATCCATAATAAAAGTGTATCCACCATGTAAGGAGATTTCGGAAGAAGATTAGGTTAGTTAGACTTTGTTAAGATGTGAGTAGTATTCAGTTTCTGATACGCATTATTTTGTGTGAGGGAAATGAGAGATCATGGGATATGTCATGTGATATTAATGGACGAATTACGGTCTTTAATCGGAAAAGGGGGGAAATCGAGAAAAAATCTGGAAATTTTGTACTTGGCTTTATTCTGTGGTGTGAAACAGTGTTCGTGAATTTTTGGATCCTATGGCCGTAACTAAAGTGAATTCGAAATGGGTATTTAGTGGTATTGAAAAGGATAGTATAAATGTTTTTTTAAGTTGTGCGAGAGAGAAATAAAGATGTTTTATTATATTATTTATTTTACCTGGTATCTTGCTTTGAAAGATAAGTATGATTTAAAGATTCTGAAACAGAAGGAAGAAAGTGTATCCGCCACGTAATCAAGATTCTGAAGAAGATTAGGTAAGTTAGTATTTTAATTATTTGAGGATATTATTTTTTATGTATTGTTTTAAATGTACGGTGGAAAGGAATTTGGTATTATTGGGAAAATTGTTATAGCAATGATTTAGTTTAAAGTAATTAGGATTGTAAGGTAATTTTTATTAATTTAATGTATGTGCTCATTTATATTTTAAGTAGTGTTTTTGAATTTAATTATATTTTAATGAAATGATAGTTATTTTGTGAATTTTATGTTTGTAGGAATTTGGTATACGTTTAAGTTGAAATAAACGTGCATGGAAATAATTTAAATATTTGATATTAAGTATTTGTAATGCTTGCGGTATGAATTCGTTGGGGACGTGTATAATGTAATAGATGATTTAGAGGTAAAAGTTTTTGATTATTCTATTTATTTTATATGTGGAAATGTTGATATTTGTAAAGGGTAAATACTTTTTCGCGATCATGTAATTTCATATATGTTCTTTTTACCGGGTTTAAAGATGGAGAAAATTGTCATATTTTTCGTGAAATATTTTTAATTTATGAGAAAAAAGCAGTGTACATGGATATAGTGAAGAGTGTGCGCAATGCCATTTTTGTGCAATTCTGGGATGTTTTTTTAAGTAAAAATAAGTCGACGTGTACATGGTTTAGTGATATTTTAAAGAAATGATAGTTATTTTGTGAATTTTATGCTTTGTAGGAATTTGGTATATACGTTTAAGTTGAAATAAACGTGCATGGAAATAATTTAAATATTTGATACTAAGTATTTGTAATGCTTGCGGTATGAATTCGTTGGTGACGTGTATAATGTAATAGATGATTTAGAGGTAAAAGTTTTTGGATATTTTATTTATTTTATATGTGGAAATGTTCATATTTGTAAAGGGTAAATACTTTTTCGCGATCAGGTAATTTCATATATGTTCTTTTTACCGGGTTTAAAGATTGAGAAAATTGTCATGTATTTTCGTGAAATTTTTCTAATTTATGAGAAAAAAGCAGTGTACATGGATATAGTGAAGAGTGTGCGCAATGCCATTTTTGTGCAATTCTGGGATGTTTTTTTAAGTAAAAATAAGTCGGCGTGTACATGGTTTATGTGTATGTGTTATTTTGAAAAATGCGTAAGGAGGATGGTATTGTGCAGTTTTTCCTAATTTTGCAGTGAATATTTGTCATGATTAAGCAGTTTTGTTTGATAAAATTTCTAGCATAAGTGTAATTCGGCTAGTAGATTGTTGGAGAAGTGTTCAGGAGATAAAAAGAAAAGAAACATGTCTTTACTTCGTGAAGACAAAATGGCGGCGGGGAAAAAAATAGAGGGTTGCTGTAGGAGAGTTAGTCGCCAAATTTTCGCCAAAAAATCGCCAAGTTACCATAATGTAAAGATCAACCCGCATCAGTTGTACCATTATTGGAGACTTTATCGCCTGCGCCGGCAAAACGGAAAAGTATCCTATATTCACTTAAAAGTCAAAGGAGCAGTGAAAAAAAAAATATATATAATCTCAATAAACTACATTTTAAATTAAACAATGAAATAACATAAAAAAGAAATTCATCTTTGCACTACACAAAGGCAATATCCACTTACATTATTTAAGAATTAACATGTCTTCAGTCAAACAAAATTCCTTAACGACATCTAATAAACTTCCTAAAATTATCTGAACTAGAATCTGTATACTGGCGTCGCCACATAAATTCACAAAATAAGAGTAAAAAATATCCTCCTACAGGCATTATTGTTTGACCATATGCATTTCCTTCCTACAAATAGGACACTTAACAATTTCTACTAAGTAAACTATCATTTACACACCAGTCAAGTAATGCTGTTTTCTCCTTTTTGTTTTCCAAATCGTACAGAAATTTTAAATTAATCTTACATCTAATTACATCCTATTGTCTAAACCACAAAACAAGCAATATACTTCCTAACCAACACACACATAAGCCCTTACGAATTTACAGCAATCGTGCAACCGATTACATCATAATAGGCTTTCTATAACATTCAACTACTCAGGCTACCATAAATGAAACAACAACTTGGCGATGAATGAAACAAAAACTTCGCGACAATACAAGGGGGCACCCTTCTCTGAACTCTAACCAAATGCTCTAAATGAACAATAAACAAAACGAAGATAAAATTCAAAATTTCGATCGACTGAAACATCAACCATACTATAGCAAAAAACAAAAAAGTGGTTAAACAGTTTTAACTACGAAGTTTTCATTTTTAATAAACAGTAGAAAAGCACATTTGTTTATATCTATACTAAAATATAATAATACAATGAAGATAAGAAGATAAAATTCAAAATGATGCGTTCATTTCAAGCACACGCTTAATCACATATAAAGTACTTACATCTAATGAGAATCTTTTATTGTGATTTATATTTAAATCAAAATCTGTATTAATCAATCATTCATAATAAACTGATCCGTGCATTTTTAAACCCACAAATATGTTAGTTGAAGGATCAGACTGACAGGTATTCATTCTTCGGAAAACCAAGAGCACTTTCTCAGACTCCTTGTGACTTTATGCTTGGAAGGACTGGACACACACCTTCACTCACACAAATCTGTCACATCTTACCTTTCAACTAATTTTATACTATTTTTACTTAGGGCATTCATACACATTCGAAATCAAACTATAACTCATGCACCATTCTATCACACATATTTCGCCCTTATCTTGTAATCCAATCAAATAAGCAAAATCCACACGTTCAAGGGGGTACTACATAGACACCTGGGTTGCCACATAAAATACTTTTTAGTGATGTCAATTACCTCCTGAATTCTTTCTAGTGACATTATGCATTGCCTCATTAATAGTTTTTGAGAATTTTTTATGGGGGGGGGGTTACGGATAATCAGAAAGTATCATTATTAATTATTAACTGAACAATACCTAGATAGCCAAATAAAAAACTTTTTGCACATTCAAAGTTTCAAATGAGTAATGAACTTTTTATGTGTATATGTGTGGCGACAGAAAGATTATTCACAAAGTATAAAAATGCACAATAATTCTAATAAATATCACTTCTTTGGCTTTATAAAATAGAACCGAGATACTCAGAATTAACAACAGATTAAAAATGTGTATAATTTTTTATTATAATGAACCAAAAATATTGGCTTCTTAACTACAGCACTCATTTTTAAAAGGCAATTAATCTTCCAGAAAGAGATAGTACAAATATTATTTGTCTAAGAGTAAATAATATTTAGAGCAATGAAAATGACCGTAACTTATTTTGTTTTTTTAAAAAGGGGCAATTTTTGTTTACTGCATATTACTAAGAACTAATCTTCATATTTTACTTATTTTTTTAAACATCTCTCATTTTTGGGAAAAGCTTCCAATTTTTCTGCAACTTCCCAGGAAAGCAAAAATTTCATTCAGAGACTTACATAGAACAGGAACCAAATCTTGAGCAATTTTATACAGAAGCTACCTCGACAGTGAAACCGACCCAGTCACCAGCCGAATTGCTGGATTCTTCATTACTTGTAGTATTCTGTTCATGTCTTAGGGCAACATCACTTGAATATGCTTGATCGGAAAGGTGAGTTTGCCAATGGCGCTTCAAATGACTTTTCAGAGCAAAACCTTTCTTACAGTATTCGCAAATGTATGGCTTCTGCCCAGAATGGATAGCATAGTGTTGGTGTAATGTACCTTTTGTTTTGAAACCTTTTCGGCACACGCAGCATGTGTGAGGTCGTTCACTTCCATGAGTGAGACAATGTTTCTGCAGATGTGTTTTCAATGGAAATGATTTATTGCAATACTCACACACGTACGGTCTTTCTCCAGTATGTAGCGCACGATGCTGCTTTAAATACGCCCTAGTAGTAAATCCTTTATCGCATATATCACACGTGTATAACACTTTATTTGTTGCATGCACTACAGAATGCTTATGCAGTTCGCCTTTAGTTTTAAAACCTTTTTGACATGTTTCACAGATGTGGCATTTTTCACCGTTATGCACCAAATAATGCTGCGTTAAGTCTCCTTTTGTTTTAAAACCTTTATTACAAGTGTCACAAATGTGGGGTTTCGCTGTCGTATGTGTGCGCTGGTGCTGATTCAACGTGTTTTTCTTCCGAAAACATCTCTGACAAATATCACATATATAAGGCTTTTCACCAGTATGCAGAGTAAAATGCTGCTGAAGATTAAGTCTCGTCAGAAAACGCTTATTACATACCGAACAGGCATATGGCTGCTGACCTGTGTGTAACAGGTAATGCACTTGCAAATAATTTTTCTTTTTGAAGCCTTTACCACAAACTTTACACACATACGGCTTTAGACCCGTATGTCGCACGTAATGTTGCTTCAAATGCGATTTATTTTTAAACTTCTTTCCACAAACATCACATGGATATGGATCTTCGACAGAATGTACCAAGTAATGCTCAGCTAAGAAATCTTGATTTTGGAAACCTTGGCAACAAACATCACATTCAAATGGCCCATCATCTAACCGAGGTCCTGATTCTTCGAAATTTGAAGATGCCTCGTCATAATCGTCCTTTTCCGAATCGATATCTTCCTTGTGGGTTTTCAAGTGCTGCTCGAGGTGGACTAACTGAGTGAAAGCTTTTTTACACAAGTCACAAACGAAAGGTACGACAGTTATGCGAGTAATATTTTCTTCTACTTCAGTTTTGATGACGATATTCTCCCCCGTCATAATCTCATTGAACAACGAGGACATTGCTAGAAATACTTCAAAATCATGCTATGGAATAATATATTATTCCCATGTTCGTAACCTCGCATTCATACTGAAACTCGCTTTTGATTGTGAGGGGCACAGCATAATATTTCAATTCCACAACTGAACCTTACTCTTCACAACAATCAACTTTAACGCTGCCACTATGTTTTGTAATTTAGTAGAGTTCGGCACTTGTTTTGTAATTTAGTAGAGTTGAGTAGTGTGACCTTCTGCTACAGCCGTATGAATAAAATCTACATAAATAATAATAATATTTGGCTTTCCATTTAATTCAAAAATCAATAAATTTAACTCTTAAATCACTATTTTATCAATATTTGCTGCAACAGTTAATTTATATCATTTTATTGAATAATAAGAAAAACTTATCTATGGTGTATCGATTTACGACATTAGTAGTGCTGCTGATAAAGCTACACGAAAGAATCTCTAGGATACTAGAAGAAGAAAGAAGGACGTTTGGCAGCCATTTTGTACCGCTATACTTTTAATTTTCGTTATAGAAAGTTAAATGTAAACAAAGGGGGAGTTTCGCTTTGATTTGTTAATAGTGCTTATAAAAATGGATGTTGTGAACTCTACAGAATCAACGTTTATTTTAGATAGTGAGAAATCAAATATAAGTGATTTAGTTAGCAACGAAAAGTCAGATTCAGAATCGCCTGATGATGTAACTAAAATACAATATGAATGTAATATGTGTCGCAAACGATTCTCTTCAAAGAGTTGTTTAAGTCTACATTATGCTTGCCATCTTCAGGAACAGCCTCGTGTATGTGATATATGTGGTGAATCTTTTTCGCAAGGTGAGGATTTTGCTGATCATTACGCTCAGCATTGCATTGAAGAAGAGTACGAATGCTTTACGTGCGATGAAATATTTAATGATAAATCTGAATTTTATGCCCACCAGAGGCTTCATATATTAGTATCGAATATGCATATATGTGATATTTGTGATGAGAAGTTTGAAACTGAAAAAGAATTGCAGGAACATTACAGAATTCACACTAGAAAATCTTTTCCCTGTGATTTTTGTCGTAAAACGTTCGCCTTAAAAAGCAGTCTTAATCGTCATCTATTGGTTCATGGAGAGACTAAGCCCTATCGTTGCGAAATGTGTAACCAAGGCTTCACTCAAAAAATTAGCTTATCAAAACATTATCTGGTTCATGCAAATATTAAACCCTATATGTGTGGTTTGTGTGATAAATCTTTTGCTGTTAAGTCAAGTTTAACGTTACATTGTTTGAATCATACCGGTGAAAAACCATATTGTTGCCTAGTTTGTGATCGACGTTTCACGAGCAAGCGTAATTTGAAGCGGCATGGCTTGGAACATATGCCTGGTCAGCGAAGTACGTGTGACATTTGCGGTAAAGTCTTTCCTACAAAAAGTAAATTACAGTTACATTTTCTGATACACACAAATGAAAGACCATATAAATGTGATATATGCAGTCGTGGATTTACATACAGCAGTCATTTAAAGCGCCATATATTGTGGCACAGTGGAGAACGTCCCTATGTATGTGATATGTGCAACATGGGATTCATCTCAAGATTTCGTCTGACACGGCATATGGAAAGGCATTCTGCTGAATACTTTGAAGTGGAACCTGACGCAATGCTGACAGAAATTAGTGTTGGTGAATGAAATGGATTTTATAGCATATATTGATGAAACGTGGATTTTCAGGTCTTACTCCTCGACAAAATGAAATTGGTTTGTTTTATAGATAGAGCAGTATTTAAGAAATTCAGTTTTATTTTTAATAAAACATAATGACAATTATGAAATTCAATGTATAGATTTTAGTCACTTGTTTTCCTTTCTATTTATTTTGATTTCTATCTTTATATTAGAAGATAACTTTTTAAATGATTTTCTGAAGGTGAAAAATGTTAAAGTCATATTGCAAGCAGTGTGTAAGTAATTCTGTAACTAAAAAGTACATGTCATATGATGTTTGAAATCTTTTATTTTTATTGATATTTATTATTTAAAAAATTAAATTATCAGTAGAATGTATTAGAAGTATGCATTTAAATCACTAAACTTTTTGCTTTTTACATTGGTAAGTGATATACTGTTATGAATCAACAGGTAAATTAAAGATATGTTGCAAAGATTGGCATGAGCTATGAAAATTTCTAAAAGCCATAGAGGGTGGTCTATTTAGCAAAAATATTTGCTACGAATTTATGGAAAAAAGAACGGGATACTCGGATAACCTTTACATAGCTTCCCATAAAAAGTACTAAATTTTTATTTGCTTTGATTTTACTAGGAAATTTTACCATACTAGTGTTTTTTTGTTCACAAATGAAATTCAGTTAATTTTTGGATTATGGTAACTTGGCGAAAATTTGGCGACCAACCCTACTACAGCAACCTGTTAGTTTTTGTTTGGACGCCATTTTGTTTTCACGAAGTAAAGGCAAGTTTTTTTTTTACTCAACATTTTTTTCCAACAATCTGCTAGCCGAATTACACTTATGCTAGAACTTTTATGGAAGAAAAGTGCTTAATCAGGACGAAGATTAAGTGCAAAATTGGGAGAAAGTGCAGAATCGCCCACTGCTTGCCGCGTTTTTAAGAATTGCACATACACGGTATCATCCATGTACACTGCTCAAAAAAAAAAAAAAAAAAAAAAAAAAGGGGACAATGCTATATCTCCCGTTCTACTGGGCCGATCGACAAAATTCAAACTGCGTTTTTCATGTCTCGAAAGCGCGACTTAGGATATATATTAGATTTATATATAGCACTATTCTAACATAGGTATTTTGACACAAAATCGGACTTTTTCTGAAATAACATACCAATTTTTTCCATATTTCGATTCTACGACTCAAATTATGCCAGAATACCAAGTTTTGTAAAAATCGTACGAGTAGTTTTTAAAAATATTAGCTCTCAAAATTTTAGCTCCTCAATGTTAATTAAATTTGGCAAATATTTATTAATATCTCTTTTTTTATTAAACTTTTTTGATTTTTTTCTCTCACATTTCGAAATTTAGGTTCATTCCAAATAAAATTTACCCATTTTTTGTGTTTTATTTTTTAAATTTCTATTTTTAAAATAATTTTATAAATTTTTCGAAAAAAATTTGAATTATAACCTATAAAATTTTTACCATCATCTAAAGTAGGTGTATTTTTAAGCATATCTGCAAAAAATTAGACTTTTTTATTCAAAATTTTCTAAGATATACACGAATTTACATATTTTCGCGTTTTGAAATTTGGCATCTTTTTTTTGAGCGATAATAACGCCAAATGTGGTCTATGGATTTTTGTTACAGTGAATTGCCACAGCTATTTTTAACCTTAAATTTCAAGTAAAATTTTACGGAGAATTAATTATATGACATTTTTCCCCTCAATGAAGGCGTAATAAATATTTATTAATACTATATGAAAAGCTTTTTTTAAATTATAGATGATATTATTCAAATTTTTAACTATTTTTTAAATTTCTCTCTTTTTCCTTTTTTTAAAAAAAAAAAAAAAGAGTAATTTTTCTAAGAGTAAATTTTTACCTTCGGAGTTTTATCGTTGCTACTTTAATTTTTAAATAAGTCAAATTATGATATAAACATACAACCCTCTAGAGACTGAATTAATGGAAGTTCAATGGTTATGTAGAAATGATCTGCAGCTACTTAATGGCTGGATAAGTCAGCAGATTCTGTGGACAAGTAAGAATAATTATATAAACGACACCCACAACATTCTGGATTCAATTAACAACGAGGATACGATGTTTATTAAATGAATTTAAGAAGTTTAACTAACAAGTTTTAAAACATAAAAAATCAACTCATTTTTATCCTAAAATGTATTTTTGTGCGTAGCGTATTTTCATTATATCCTTAAAATTCTAATTTAGAATGTAATTGTCAAGAACTGAATCCTAATCATCAGTAATATAATAAGTAATTATTACGGTTATTAATAAATCCTTCTTATAAAGTAATTGCAAATATTTAAAAAAAACTTTCTGTCTGAATGCAAATATTTTTCTATGCAAAATTTTTAATTTTATATTAATCAAGATTGCACACGATATTATTTATTTGCACTTCAATTCTTACCGTCAGTTCTAGTAGAAGTTACAAATCAATTATATTTAATTAAGGATTGGATTATTTAATTATGGCAAAGCACACGAGGGCTATCTGCCTAAAGGGAGGGATGCCTTCGTGGAGGACTTTCTAAGGGAAACTGGCTCGTATACACGTTACACATGGGAAAACCACGAAAACGCCCATGCGGCCAGCCCGTTCGCGGGATTCGAACCTCAGACCGAACTACCAGTGCTCGGCCGCTGGTGGGCTATTTAATTAAGGAATGACCATCTAAATTTAGAAACAGCGTACCGTAACAGCAATTCAATTATTGGCGCCGTATCTTTCATGTTACTCCCGATTGGCAAGCTACATGATTTTTAATGAGTATTCGGGTTTTGCTAGTAACTTCACTTGGAAATCGCGCTTAAACTAGGTTAGTTGGTTATTTGAACATAGAAAGAACATGGGAGCTATTTGATTAAGATGCTTTCATAGAGAACCTTTGTAAAGAGAACCTAGAAAACTACGAAAAACAACCATGCAGCCTGGGTTAGACTTCGCAACAATTAGTATTTAACAATCTTCAAATGCTAGGCAACTGGTGAGGCTCCAATTAAATCTCCAATTTAATATTTTATTTGTAAATATTTAAAATATTGTTGTATTCTTAGACACAAAAAGCAAAGAATTTAAGTTTTGTTAACTCGTTAGTAAACTACCAAGCCGTAGTGCAAATGAATATTCAATTTCTTTTGCAATAATTGTATTCACTTAATATTCTTGGAATATGAGCTAAAGAAGGAACATTCTCGGAAGATTAAAGAAGTGTTTAAATTCAGTGATATAAGGTTTGTTTTAGAAGCTCAGGATCAAAACGATTCTGCAATTGCCCGAATAGTTGACTTGTAAATAGCTGTGAATTAATCGCTGACTTTTAATCTTATGTTATTCAGTCAGACAACGTATTCCAAATGTTTTGTATTGCATGATAATGCATCTTTTCATTATTCAATAACCAGTCGGAGAACCGCTTGTGTTCCGAAAATAAGTATGTGTACTCAATCTTCCTGCATGTTCTTCAAATTTGTCTTCTTGTGATTTTTTTTCTTTCCCCAAAACTAAAGTTGCCTCTCAAAGGAAAGTTTTTTGACATTGAAGAGACAAAAGGAGTATGACATTTACTTTTAGAGGCATGTCAAAAACAGATCTCTACAAGCCTTCTCTTCCATTACATGTTGTGCAGTCAGACAAAATGTTGCATCAGCGTAAATTCTATAATCTATTTTATTACACTCTGATTACTTTACTAACATACAGTGAATATATACTAAATCTTTTACTTCAGCTTAAGTAATTCGGAATTTTTGACGGAATTCTTGTCGGAACTAGGACTTAGAAGATAAGTCAAATTAAATATTTCGATAACCCAATAAATTCAAGGTCGAATTTCAAAATTTTATTTTCGAAGGAAGGGGAAATTTTTTCAGTTTTGGTCCATTATCCTAAGTATATTTGCTTCGATTCTTTATTTTTCCATAAAAGCGAAAAATTTACGTATGGTATACATATAACGCATAGCTTCAAATGAAAATTTAATAATATACGGAGTGGTTATAATTAAAGTTCCACATTGAAACGGTCATAAAACGAAAACTACTGGATCAAATGTTATCAAGCTTGGTAATCGTGTAAAGGAGGTCATAGGAATTTATTTTCCCGGAAAAAAAGGAAGTCCGAAACCTCACCACCAGGGGGGAAATGGCGCTGTATGCAATATTGTTAAACGAAATATGGGTCGGAATCTAACTTAACCTTTTGTTACACGGGTTTAATATGTTGTATACCCTTAAGAAACTTTGAAGTAAGCAAATTACCATTTAAAGGCGTTAAATTCGATAAACGTTGAGTGCGCCATCCGTGTAAGTGAGAAATTCGTCCGTGAAAACCACGAATTAGCGATTAGAAAATGTGAGATCGCAAATCACTCGCACAAGTCCGTACAATCTGGAAATCATTTTCTTACAGATCGCTAATTTATAATTTTTGAAGCCTGAATTTGGCCTTAAAACATAAAGATACTGATTCAAAACACTTTTAATCGATTTGGGCCAAAGAAATCCCTCATGTTATATATCTAGTTCCATTGCATTCGATTGCATAGCAGTCATTCCACACCGTTTAGTGTTGAATGACAGCTACTGTTATAACTGAACCATTTTTCTCTGAAGAGCAGTCGACAGCTGGACTACTGTGAATGCAGCTCACTTAGAGTCAATGTTAATATGTTTCGTGATACATGAACTGCAGTAACATGGCATTTTAGATACTACGATTTTTATGCAGGGCTGGGCCCCACCTGACGTGTGTCGCACAGTTACTTAGGCAACATTTCACGAATAAACGTCTTATAGGCCAACACTTCCCCTCTTCCCACCAGTCCTCAACCTCTGTGACTTTTAGCTATGGGGTTTTCTCAAAAGCACTGTTTATGGTGATAATCTAAACAATTTGGCAGAAATGAAAAATGTGATACACTGACATGTCCGTAACATTTCTTCTGATATGCTAAGAGCTG